AACCTACGCTTTTCAATCCCAACTTGGAGGTTCATGGGCAGATACAAGTGGAGTTATGAGTCGCCAATGATGAATTATCACTGGAGCCTAAAGCCTAAGCCGGAGCGTAGAATTGCTTTGTAGTCCCACGGTAGATAACATAAATCCTGCATTACCCATAAAAAAGGTATATACCATCATTCCCATGGTTTAGGGTCCTTAAGGCAATGCCGGATTTATATCACCAACATAATCTGATAATGCAGCATATAAACTTGGCCTCTAGGGTAACATACCCAGAGGGTCCATATAGACTACTATATTGGAATTCGGCTCCCAAAAGACCATGACCTAATTCCATAATAGCAGTATGTATGGACCCTCTTGGATATAATACAGTATATAAACCTGGCCCTAAACCCTAAACCCCTCTAAGGGTAGCATGCAATGAAGCCTTTACGGCCGGTGTATCTACTGTCTAAAAACTCGGATCCTGAGGGTAACCCGAACATAGGTTTAAGGTTTTAGGGTTTAGGGCTTATGGTACTACTACTAGCGTTTTGGGGTGTACTTTTACTTCCCAGGAACCCTAGACAGTGTTGCTACTTATTCAGCTCCCATAGCAAGTCCTTACCATGACCTGTATAGTAACCCTTATAGAACCCTTCAAAGAAGCAACATGACTATTTGTTCAGGCCCATTCAGTCTCCAATTTAAGGGATCCCTGTAGGAGACCCCTTAAACCTTACACCCTAAACCGTGGATCCCCTTAACGGGAATCCTATTGTAGAAATATACGTATACATTAACAAATAAATAAACGAACAAACTAATAAATTAATGAATAAACGAAACAATATAGTAATAAATAAATAAATAAATATATGTATATATATATATAAGAAACCTATAGTTCCTTTCAAGGATATCCCCTTTTCAAGACCCCAGATTCCACCATGGCAGCTCCGTCCATGGTCGCAGGTCCAGCTCGAAGGACCGTGCTGATGGATGCCTGAAGAAGAGCGTTTTCCTGATTCTAATCCCTAAGGTTCTTATTGCTGTTCTGGGCTTTCTAGGGGAAGGTTTGGGCTTGGGGGCTAAGGTTTGGGCTTTCACTATGGGGGTCCATGAGCCTTAGGGTAATCCCTAAGGGTCCATGTACCCAAATAGGAGAACATTGGCCCTTAAAGTACCCATATAGGGACTACAATTAAGGCCAATGTTCTACTATTTGGGTACATGGACCCTTAGGGTATTATAATTATAGTATAATATACCACCCAAACCCTATTCTAATTATGAAGGCCCCTACATTACATAGGGTTGAAGAGAGGTCAGGTGTTTAGGGCTTTAGGGTTTAGAGCGCAGGGAGTTTAATTAGGGTATAGCGGCTTCGCGTTTAGAGCTCAGGGTTTGAGGTTTAGGGTTTAGGGTATAGGGTTGAGGGTTTAGGGTTTAGGTTTAGGGTGGATGGATGGTACTAAGTTTGGGGTTCCTATAAGTGGCCCCATACAAGGGTTGCTGCAAGGGATATACTAAGGAAACGTTTCATTCTTTGTTCCGGGGTTTAGTATGGGCTTGCTTGCAAGGGTTCTATATAAGGTCTAATGTACGGGCTATATTATAGATATATGAGCCTTAATCATGAAGCCTTGACGGGATTAGGTGTTCATATAGTGGCCTGAATAATTGGAATGGGGTTTTGGAGTCCTTTATAGTATACATAGAATAAGTAGCTCCCAAAATAATTAGGTAGTTATTGAGGTCCCTGTGTTAGAGGGTTAGGGTTTAGGGCTTAGGCTTAGTGCAGAGGGGTCGATGGGCTTACGACTTGTCAGATGGCTTGAGGGTCCAGGGTTCGGGTTCTGGGTTTAGGCTTTGGGGTTTCGGATTTGGTGTAGGCTGTAGCTGTAGCTTCGGGATATAGCACAGGAAGTCCCGAGAATCGTCCCTAAACCCTAACCCCAAGCCGTCCATCTTCGGTGAAGACTAAGCCCACCAACCCCCCAAACCCTGCGTCACTAAAACCCTAAAGCCCTACACACCTGACCTATATTCAACCCTATGCAATATAGGGGCCTTCATAATTAGAATAGGGATTGGGGTATATTATACTATGATTATAATAAGGAACCCACCAAAACCCCATTCTAATTATTAAGGCCCCTACAACAACGCCATCAAACTCAGATATGAGAGTTTCCGAAAAATAGAGGTACCTTATTTGGGGATCCTTATAGTTAGGGTCCTACTATTTAGGGTACTATATTAGGGCCCCCCTATTTTCGGAAACCCCCATATCCATCCTCGCACCGAAGGGCTGGTGTGCCACATGCCAGTAGGTCTCTGCAACTTCCTTGGGGTCAAGAAGCCCATCCTCGGTGGTTCCACGACATACGGGGGTTTCTGAAAACAAGGGGTACCTTATTTTGGGGTCCTTATAATAAGGATCCTACTATTTAGGGTACTATATTAGGGTCCTCTATTTTCTGAAACCCCCATACAGCTTCAGGGCTTTGAGCTTTGGAGCCGCCTCAGTGATTTACTCCTTTATAGAGTTTTTTCAGGGTCTCTAGAGCTCCGAAAAGTTTCATGGGGCCTTTTTTGCCTAAGCCTTTGGGATTTAGTGCTTAACGCTTCTCAGGGTTTAGGGGCGTCCAGGCTTGTAGGGACTGTAGGGCCCCCGGCATACGCCGAACTCCTTCCAGATTCCAGAAGACGTTTCAAGTTTCAGGCTTTGGGATCTTAAGCAGTTGATCTTGCTAACGAATAATTTGGGAAGAGCATCACTAGCACATACCCATGAGTAAGCCCGAAAGCCCCTTATTGAAGGAATACATCATAAGCTTACTGGAAGCAGAAACAACCGAAATGTAGCCTGCACTTGTAGCCCTTCTGAGCAGAATTACTTGTGCGTTTCTTTGTTCAAGAATAGGATGATACACCAACATTCTTAAAACTAGAACAATAACCCTCAAACTAAATCCTAAACAATAAGTCTTTTTTTGCAAGAACACCCCAGAGAGTAGTTTTGAGTCCCAGGCCCTCGACGGAACGAAAGACGGTCTGGGCTGGCTTAGGGTTTAGGGTTTAGGGATGTTATCAGCTACAAGGGTTCCGGATCAACGAGGCTACAAGTAATATAGGGGCCTTAATATAATAATTAGAATAGGGTCTTGGGGTATATTATATGCGACTATAATCAATACGTATAATAAGGAACCCCCCCAAAATAGTATAGGTAATGATAAAGGCCCCTATATTAGGGCTTCAGGAACTTGGGTTTCGTTGCAACTTTCAGACTTTGAGGCGTAGAAGGCAAGCATCGTGAGCACCGGCCGTGCTGCGCAGCTCTGCAAAACGCTCAGCTCCCATCATCTTCCCCAGCGTGTCGGGCGCATCTACCGGACCATCAACGATGATATGCGCCACGTGGATTCCCTTCCTCAGCTTTCATACTTCGAGACCTTAAACGCTGTGAGCCCATGTAGGATGTATGGAGAGGCCGACCACCTGTTGACAGCCATGTCTCTGGCATGCATGTTGGTTCATCTACTGGATACTACATGCATCGACCTAGGACCGTGAAGGGGAAGTAAATGACACATCGAGCAAGTATATAGCAATATCTGTGTGAGCCTGTTTGTCTGTCTTTCTGCCTGCCTGCCTGTCTGTCTGGTTCTCTCTCTCTCTCTCGACGTTCGCAAGCATGTAAGTGTGCACCTATGTTTGTATACCATGCGCGTACATTTAAATTGTGCCAGTCGGTGTTAACAACAGCAAAGAAGAAGTCGTTACCACTATTTAAAAGCCTGTGACGGTATTTAGACTCACTGGTTGAGTTTAGGTATACATATTATGCTTGGCTGACTTTTGAACCCCTCCTATAAGCTAAGCTTTTGGCCTACTGAGTATAGTTGATATAGAAACCTTTGAAAGCTAGTGTCCTAAGACCCAAACGGAAGAACGAGGGGCCTTAATAATTATAATAAGGTTTGGGGGTGTACTATACTATATTTATAAAAAGGAACCCCCAAAACCCTNNAACTATTGAGGCCCCTACATTACACAACAACAGGAAATGAAGGGCCTCAGGCCGGGTCTCGGTCCGAATTCTGCATTCAAGCTCTGGCACAACATCCGTCGACCGCCCATGGCGGCAGCATGTGAATGTTGTCCTTCATTTCCGCGCATGGCAGCTGTCGAAGAAGTTACCAGGAAGCTGCCCTTCCCGTTCTGCACCATGGCTGGCATCGCAGCTTGTGCTACGCGGAAAAGGCCTAGGCAAGCCATTCGCCAGCCAAGTTCGAACTGCTTTAGAGAAGTTTCGGCGAGGGATCGCGTTCCAATTTGCGCTCCGAGGTTAAAGACAACCACTGCGATAGGCCCGGATTCCGCCTCCGTCTCCTTGACTAGTCCCTCGATGGCACCAGGCTCCACGGCGTTGATGAGACGTCCAACAGCCGAGCCACCCTCAGCCTCAATCTCCCGCACCATGCGATCCAGCCCCTCCTGGTCCGATCTGCGCGAGAGGACTACATGATAGCCACCCTTGGCGAAGCGCTTCGCCACGGTGCCACCGATCCCCGCGCCCGCACCGATGACCAAACAAACCGGCTTCATCAGAGGCTACTCTGTGTCTTGTCATGGGGCACCTTGTGCCCACAAAAAGCTTTAGCGGGTTAGGTGGGGGGGGGGGGGGGGGGTGCAAGTCGGAAATGACTGTGTCACAAATAGCACTGTCCGGGGCTGTTCTGAGCTTTGCTACATTTGTTTATCTTCAGGGCTTCAGGAATTATGGTTCTACTAAAGTTGCAGAGCCAGGGTTTAAGTGGGTTTGATGTTTATACCCGGAGCCTGAATCTTATGTTGTAAAACCTATGTAATGTCTAGGGGTGTGAACTTCAACTTAGAGACTCCCAAACCCAAGGCTGTAATAAAGGCTTAATAATCTTAAGACGACATAAGTTGGACGGTGGGGTGTTACACGCCCCCCCTGCCCCCAGCTTTTGAGAAGACACAGATCTGCCGGTGGGGCCGCTGTGAGGCTGACGCCTCGCCAAGCCTGCCGAAACCCTACCACCAATCCCTTATAGGGTCTGCTGACCTGTTCTGGCGGTCGCTCTAGGGCTTTATCCGGCCACTCGCCGCTTGATGTGGCGTTTATCCGGTTGCATATAGGGCTCTATCGGGGTCTGAAACGTGTTCAGTTCTATGAGGGTTCTATAAGCGCTCGCTTCCCACCCTAAACCCCCGAACCAATACTCTGCAACCGTGAGGAGGGAATCTAGGAAAAACTCGTGAGGACGAACATTCCCATTAGGACTCTAGTAAAAAGACCCAAACTCTCTTCGAATTGTTAAAACGCGCACACTCCTATACTACTGTTGGAGTTTGGGGCTGTCCCTGGCCAGGGCGTGATTTCGAAACCTGGACATAGCCTAACTCAAACTGCCTCCACCCCCTCCCACCCCGAGATTAGAGGCGCAGCAAGATCATGCTGTATACCTCAACTCCCTACAATAAAGTCTGCATAATTACGCGCCTGAAAATGTTACGAGCTACTTTCGTTCAGGCTCTGGTGGTAAATCCTAGCCTAGCAGCCCTTATAATATGAATTTCCAGGGGCTCTACACAAAACACGCATTTTCATACTTTAAGGAAAACCCAGAGAAGTCCCGAGACGTGTTTCTTTGGCTTTCCCTGAAAGAGTCGAGAGGGAGCCTCAAAGCCCGAAAAACGGTTTAGGGTTTAGAGTTTAGGGTTTAGGGTTTAGGGTTCAGGGTTTAGGGTTTAGGGTTTAGAGTTTAGGGTTTAGGGCGCCCCTACGTTCCCCTGAGCCCTCAATCAAAATCCTAGCAGAACCATAATATAGGGGCCTTAAGAATTAGAGTAGGGTGCTGGGGCCCCTGATACTAGAAACATGATAAGGAACCCCGGTAAAATAGGTATTGCGGCCCCTAAACCCTAAACCCTAAACCCTCAATTCTGCATAGCTCTGAGCATCCCGAAACTCTCCAGGCCCTAAAATCCCCAAGACCTCTGAAACCCTGCACCCTAAAGCCCTAAAGCCTAAACCCTGAAACCCTGAACCCTAAAACCCTATATATATATATGTATATATATATATACATATATATATATATATACATACCCTAAAACCCCAAGACCTCTGTAAACCCTCTAAGACCTATATCCGCTACAAAACCGCCATTCCAGAAAAGCCGAAAGAGGCGGAGCTCTTGCCGCCTCTCGAGGGTCATCCTCATGATCATCCTTGGGCCAAGCAGCTTAGCGCTTAGGGTTTAGGGTTTACGGTTTAGGGTTTACGGGTTCAGGGTTAAGGGCTTAAGGGTTTTAGGGTTTTGAGTTTACGGGTTTAGGGCTGAAGGTTTTATGGTTTAGGGTTTACGGGTTTAGGGCTTAAGGGTTTTAGGGTTTACGGGTTTAGGGTTAAGGGCTTAAGGGTTTTATGGTTTAGGGTTTACGAGTTTAGGGCTGAAGGTTGTAGGGTGTAGGGTTTACGGGCTTAAGGGTTAAGGCTTAAGGTTTTTAGGGTTTTAGGGTTTACGGGTTTAGGGGTTGGGCCCTGAGGGTGTTAGGGTTAAGGGTTTACTGGTTTAGGGGTTAGGGCTTAAGGGTTTGAGGGTTCAGGGTTTACGGGTTTAGGATACAGGGCTTAAGGGTTTGAGGGTTCAGGGTTTACGGGTTTAGGTTTCCGGGCTTAAAGGTTTTAGGGTCTAGGGTTTACGGGTTTAGGGTTTAGGGTTTACGGGTTTAGGGTTTAGGGCTTAGGGTTTTAGGGTTTACGGGTTTTGGGCTTAAGGGCTTTAGGGTTTAGGGTTTATGGGTTTAGGGCTTAAGGTTTTTAGGG